ACCAATGAAGCGAACTAATTGTCTCTCCTGCAAACTCCACTCCCCTGTCGTTCCTCTTTTATTCCCTCTGGGAGGGGCCATTCACCCTCCACCTGTGGCCTTATTCCCAAGTCGACCCCTGTTCTTTAGCTCTTCCCTTCGTCTGGCAACTCTGCGCATGCGCACACTGGGAACAGGCTCCAGCTGTTCTTCTGCCTCACTGATGTCTGACTCCGAAGGCAGCTGATAACTGTCGGACGGCCCTTCCCCAGATTCCAGGACTGGCCCATGTTCCTCCCCAAACTCCTCACTGTCTGAATCTTGTGGGTCTGACATATACACACGGCTCTCGGATTGGAAGGCCTTGTATGGTTTCTACATTTCCCTAGAAGCAGCACATTTTTTAAAAAAAGAGTTTTATTATTATTTTAGTTACACCAATAAGCGTGTGCCATATTTCCTTACGCAGTGCGTCATCTGGGTACAGGCGTCTCTGTGCCGCATCGTTCCTCTTTTGCCACCGCTTCCGCGTTCCTATTAACACTGTTTCCACGGATTTAGTATGATGATATATTTGTGACCCGTCAAAACTGCACTCGATGAAAGCGCGTACCTGATGTCATCAGCAGCGCGACGAAAAAAATTAAAATTAAATTAAATTGAAATTAAAATAAAATTAAAGCAAGCCGATTCACATAAAGGTAAGGGTTAGGGTTAGCATTAGGTTAAGGGTTAGCGTTAGGTTTAGCGTTAGGTTAAGGGTTAGGTTTAGGGTTAGGTTTGGGGGGGTTATGGTAAGGTTTTCGCTTTAATTTTAAATTTACCGCTCACAGCGCGATGTTTTCGTCGCGCTGTGATGACTTCACATATGCACTTTCGTCGAGCGCGCTTTTGTCTACCGCGGTTTTGTGGTGGAACCAATATATTGAGCATTTAAACATTATGGAACTCTCCCGTTTCTCTCTCTATATATAAATTTCAGGTAAAATTCCTAGCGGAAATTTTTCTGGAAAAGCAACACATTTCTTTTGTCCTGGGGGTTTTTCCGCTTTTAAATGAAAGCCTCCCCCAAGACCCTTCCCAGGAAGAACTCTCTTCCCTTCCAACAAGCTTTGCAGCTTCCTGTAGCCACCTGGTGTGGCCCGAGGACGGGAAACAGGATGCTGGCTTAGATAAACCGGGCCCGTCTCTTCTCTGGGGAGAGGTGGGGACACACACTTTGAGGACACAGGTTTAGAGAAAGCCCGAGATGGGCCTGGAAGCATGCAGATAACAGAAGAAGCTGGTTTGGGTCCAGGACGGTGGTGGGTTTCAAAAAAATGTTGGAACCTCTTCTGTAGGTGTGGCCTGTTTTCTGGGTCCACTGGTGGAACCTCTTCTAAGCGGTTTGGTAGATTTGACGAACCGGTTCTACCGAACCGGTGCGAACCGGTAGGAACCCACCTCTGGTCCAGGAGCTCTTTTATCAAACTCTCCTTCCTTCTCTAGGCGAAGAAGAAGATGGCGATGAAGATGACGAGACTGAAGGTCCAACTGGCAAGCGGGCAGCTGAGGACGATGAGGTGAGTCAACCCGCCCGAGAGAAGGCCGGAGGAGGTTTCAGCCCCATCGTTACCGCTCCTCATTTTCCACTTAGCTCATCGCCACGTGAAACGCAGAAATGCAAAGCAAATGATAACAGGAATGTAAAATGCTTCATCGTTTTTGGTGCCCGAGCTCTCCCGTGTACACACCAAAAGCTATAAGTGTTAAATCACGATCCTAGTCATCCTAAAAAGACATTTTTTTTAAAAAAAAAAAAGGTTTTATTTTTATTCTCTTACACACAGTTACAGGTAAACATTCACATAAGTTATAGTTCTTATTTATATTTTATCACTTTTACGCATTTGTTTCCCCATATAAAAAGTTAAATTATACTTGTTGCTTTATTTACCATCCCGTGCATCTATTTTGTATCATCACAACTCTTCTTTTCCTTTCTTTTCTCCCTCCCTTCTCTACTTCCTTTCTTCCTCCTTTCCCTTCCCTTCTTCCCTTACCTCTCCCCTACTCCTCTCTTCTTCCCCTCTCTACCCTCTCTCCTTGTCCTGTCCCTTCCATCCTTCCTCTCCTTTCCTCTTCCTTCCTCCTTTCCCTTCCCTTCTTCCCCTACCTCTCCCCTACTCTTCTCTTCTTCCCCTCTACCCTCTCTCCTTCTTGTCCTGTCCCTTCCATCCTTCCTCTCCTTTCCTCTTCCTCCTTTCCCTTCTTCCCCTACCTCTCCCCTACTCCTCTCTTCTTCCCCTCTCTACCCTCTCTCCTTCTCGTTCTGCCCCTTCCATCCTTCCTCTTCCTTCCTCCTTTCCCTTCCCTTCTTCCCTTACCTCTCCCCTACTCCTCTCTTCTTCCCCTCTCTACCCTCTCTCCTTCTCGTTCTATCCCTTCCATCCTTCCTCTNCCTTCCTCTTCCTTCCTCCTTTCCCTTCCCTTCTTCCCTTACCTCTCCCCTACTCCTCTCTTCTTCCCCTCTCTACCCTCTCTCCTTCTCGTTCTGCCCCTTCCATCCTTCCTCTCCTTTCTTCTTCCTTCCTTTCTTCTCTCTCCTCTCTCCTCTTCCTTTCTCTTATTGTGGTTATCTCTTTTCATCTCTCAAGTGGTGTATTTTCGGGATGGTATTCCCACAAGCCTAGATATAATTTCATAAAAAGACATTCACGGTGAATCCTAAGGTACAACATGTAGTGACGCTCATAGGATACTAAATAAGCCATCAAACTTAACTCATGCTAGGAAACTAAATAAAACAGTACAAATCGTAACCATGCAAGGAACAAAGTTATAGTAGAAACCCTTCTTCTCCCTGTCTCTCTGACCACCTTCCTTTTCTTTTTTTTTCAGGACGACGACGTGGATCCGAAGAAGCAGAAAACCGACGAAGACGACTAGGGGGAGTTAGGATAATAGAAAGAGAAACAACTTTTTTTTAAACAAAAAAAAAAAAAGGAAAGAATTTTTTTAAAAAAAGAAAGGCCAGCGTGACCTGCTTTTACCTTTGAAAACTTTCTGTTACAAAAAGAAAAAAAAAATTACGTCCCCCCTCGTTGCTAATGGTCACCGTCATAAAGTAGAGCAGACAAACATGGGAAGGAAAAAAACACCCCCCAGTAAAAGCCGCCGGGCGTAGAGATGCCATTCCCCCCCCCCAACTTGTAAAAAACAAAACCCCCCCAACCCCAAAATCCTCCCTCCTTCCTCCCCTCCCTTCCCTGTCACACGGGTGAATGGGGTGCGGGAGAGTGGGTGACCCAGTCTCTCCCCTTCTTCCCCGCCCCAACGTAAAGTTCACGGCCCCAGCTTGATTTCTTAAAAGTAACTTTAAAAAAAGGAGAATTTGTTTGTATTTTTTATTTACATTTTATATTTTTGTACATATTGTGATGAGGTCGGCCATTTTTAACGCGATCTCCGATTTGACCAAAAGGGGGTGGGGGGGTGGGAGGAGGGGAAGGGCTTTTGAAATGTGCTTTTCTTTCTTTTTTTTCTCTCTCTCTCTCTCTCTTTCCTTTGTTCCTATAAATGAATCAACAACAACAACAACGAAAAAGATCTAGACTTTACTTGTGGTGTGACCGTGTCCAAAAACCATGATCTCAAAAGGAGAAGAAAAAAAGACCTTGTAAAAAAAATAATAATAATTTCAAAAATGCAAAAAAAAAAGAAGTCCAAGATTTATAATGAGCATTCCAGTAACAATTTTATTTTGTGTGTGTCTATGTACTTTTGCCTGTACCATAAAGTAGTGGGTTTGTATGAAATGGCAAGGCCAAAGATTAAAAAGGGTTTTTTTTTCCTTTTTTTTTTCCTTTTCGTTCTTTTATTTTTATTTTTATTTTGTCTTAAGGCAGTGGTTTCCAAACTTGGCAACTTTAAGACTTGAAGTCCACAAGTCTTAAAGTTGCCAAGTTTGGGAACCATTGGTCTAAGGAGTTGCTGTTAATTTTTTTTTTTTTGGCCTGTTTGATGTATGTGTGAAAAACAATATTGTCCAACAATAAACCGGAATTTTATTTTGTTGAGTTGTTCTAACAAAGCTGGTTGCACAAGTACTGTGTAGTTTATTTTTTTTAAGCTCCGCCCACCCAAGTAAATTGAGGATTTCCCAAATACTTTTCCTAGATAAAGTGGAAACAAAACCTTTGCGTTGGTGGTATAGGTAGTCCTTGACTTTAACGACCACAATTGAGCCCTGTTGTTCAGGTTTCAAAAAAAATGCCCTAATTAATTCATGAGCCTCGAGCCAAGTTTCAAAAGAAAGCCAGTCATGTATTAGGAACGTCATTTTGGCAAGACCCCATTGCAGTCCGATCTAAACCTCATTTTAACTATCGCTGAACTTTATCTCTGTTCCTTCTCAATCTGTGTCATAAATCACATTCTCCAACGAGGTGCACTCCTCACAAACCTGTAATAATATGAGATCTGACTCTAGCCGAAGACATGCGTGGAATGCGCTCGCCCCGCTTTCCTCACCATGGCAACTTATAACTTGAGTTGATATTCGGCTCCCCTCATTTTCCAAAGGCTAAATGGGACAGTTTATAGTTTTGCCCCGCTTTGCGACCTTTCTTGCCTCAGTTAAGTGAATCTCAGTTGGTAAATTAGTAAGTTACAGGGTTATTCAGTGAATTTGCTCATCCGAAGGTCGCAAAAGGGGAATAACATGACTCTGGGACACCAACTCATAAGTGTGAGTCGGTTGTCAAGCATTTAAACGTAAACCGCGTGATCATGGTGATGCCACAATGGTCATAAGTGAAAAACAGTTCTAAGTCACTTTCCAGGGCTCTCGTAACTCAATGGTCACTTAAATGGATGGTCGTAAGTCAAGGACTACCTATAGAAGCATTCCTACTAATCCTGGAACAACTGGGGAAGTACCTGAGGATTGGAAAAGATCTGATGTAGTTCCCATCTTCAAGAAAGGGGAAAAATGACACCTAGGAAACCACAGACCAGCCTAACATCAATACCCGGGAAGATCCTGGGGAATAAAATAAAAAGATCTGCGATCTTTTATTTTTAAATAAAGTTGCAACTAGCAGCCAGCACAAGTTTGTTAAAAACATGCCAGGCCGATCTTTTCATTCTTCGATAAAAGTCACCACAAATTGCTGGACCAGCAAAATGCTGTGGACATCGTATACTTAAGATTTCAGTAAGGCATTTCGGTTCCACCACAAATCCGTGAAGCCATTATCCGCGGAGACAAGCGTGAAGACCAATTCGCGCCGTTCGAAGCGCTAAGGAAAAAACGCGACCCTAACGCGATGACATAATCGCGGAGGGCAAATCCGCGCATTCCCAAGCACTCAGTACCCTAAACCTAACCCTAACCCTAACCCTAAAACAAACCCCTAAACCTAATCCTAACGCTTACCTTAATTGAAATCGGTTTTCTACTGCAGCGCCGTTTTAAAGTGCCCTTCTGTTGCCGCGCTGTTGTCGTGGCGGTGATGACGCGCGATGATGATGTTGCGGCTTTAGCGACGTGCTTATGTCTCCGCGGATAAGGGCTTCGCGGTTTTGTCGTGCCACGTTTTAAAAGACTCAATTAACATTTACTTTCCTAAAGTCTAACATTGGTTCCTGGTCACTTATAAGGTAATTTGATTACATTATCTGTAAATTTTCATGTATTCTGTACCGGTAATAAAAGAATTGGTGCAACAGTAGCTAAAAAAGTTTTGCCTTATCAATATACGTTTCTTCTAAAGAAAAGTCTGCAATGCAACTTCAATGAAACCTGTAATGCTTCCTTGCAAAAGGACACATCTGGATGAGAGAAGGAGGAAGAGGGGGGCAGAGGGAGACTCAAAGGGATTCGGAGGCCACAGGATACCATCCTTGCTTGGTTCACTAAATGAACTATGGTAAGTCACGGACTAACTGTATTTGGTTTTTTTACTATAATTTTTTCATAAGTGTGGGTGGCTGTGACTGAATAATAATTCAGAAAGATAGAAAGGTATTTTGAAA